CAAACCAAATGTAAACTAAACAACAACTACATTTTGATGCACGCGTATAGACCAGGGATTACCTGTACATCACTTCGATGCGATCAACATCGATTATTTGGGGTCACGTGCCAGCACGATATTTACATCCCAGTTTGCCATATTGAGATGAATGAACACTACGGAAACATTCTGCACAATGTCCAATAATTTTGCTTTAAGGACAGATGATTCGTAGAGAATTCACTAAACACAAGCACCCAAAATCTTTTTAGAATCATTTGTGAATTATGAGCCAACCACTTCTCCGTAAATGATCTGAACAAATGTGTCAATCTTTACGTTGAGATTGTGAAACTCTCAGCAGCTTCGATGGCATTCGAACCCACGCATGGACGCCGCCTGCGCGCAAGCTCCACAAGCTGAGGTACGAGGCCAAACCGATAGCACACACTCAAATCACCCATTCAACTTACCTCTGTTGATAAAACGGCACAGTCAAAGCTTTAATAGGACTCACTAGCCGAAAGATTGGATGAAGCAGTAAAGAACCGAGGAGAACGAATGTGTAAAATCTGTGACCCGCATCCCGTGATGCGTGTATGTTCATCAATCTAGAGACTGCAATTACACTCCAGGGTTGGCAACTATAACCTGTCCGTTTTTCTTTTCGTTGAATACCGTGAATGCTTGCTATAAGAAACAAAAGTCTGTTCTGTCCAGAACTCAACCTCCGGTTGATGATGCTCATCAAACACACCGTAGAATCCCAGCAACACCTGCGTTTCAGAACTTTTGAGGTAAATCATCAGTTCGTTGCTAGTAGGCTTTCAACAATGTATCAAAAAATGGAATTTTTTTTGCTATGTCCAACTGTACACAAGGGGCTAAACTCACGCGGGTATCGAGTCGTTCATTGTGACCAAACCGTAAAGGAAAACAAGGATGCCCACAATGGCTGCCGGGAGGAGCCATGCAGTGTAGAGTCCTGTAAATTGAAAGGTATGGAGATAAGCACAATTTAGTACAAAATTTTTGGTACATGTGAATATAATAAATAAATAGAAAAACCTTTAATATCAATTCTCACAAAACGGACTCATAAGCACAAACTGCATTGCTGTGCACGGAAATTCACATTATAGACTATTCCACTTGATTTCATCTTGAGACCAATGGTCACACCGCTGTTTCTTTTGCCTTTCTTTTCCACATTTCCTTTCAATATGAAAGGAATGGAGGATTTGATTTGATTAAATGAAAAATTCTTCGTGTGAATGACGCATGAGCTGAGAGGCCAGGAAGCACTGAACAGCTGTCTCGACCTGGTTCGGTCTCATCAGTGAAGTAAGCGAATTCATGAACTAATCAAATCAAATCCTCCATTNCCCGCCATTTAATAAGTAATCCGGTTGTGCAAGTTTCCAACTGAGTCATTACCGGGGAGGCTAGTGCAAGGACGTGAGAGCCAGCCAATCAGAGGGCTACCATAAACAAATACTAGGAACGGTTAGGTCGTGGTGATGAAGGTGGTGGTGGTGGTGCGGGTGGTGACCGTGATGTGATTCAAACACAAGTCCCATCGGGTCAATACTGTCCGGCTCGTTTGATCATTCGCTCATTGAGATTGGTATGGGTGGAAGGGG